CCATTGGATGAGGTGCTGAGAATAGGGGGAAAGAACGAGGATTAGATGACCTCTTTTACTTCAGACGGTGCATTTTAAGAGAGGAGTGAGGAATTGGGAATACTGTGGTCATTTGTAGTTATGGTGTTTCTAATGTTAGTCTGTTGACCGGCCTTACTAGTGTCCTGTAAATGTCTATTCTTTTCTCAATCAAGTTAGTGATTTTTAATATAAATCTGCCATCTCATAGGTTTATGAGTAAGTATTTTAAAAAGGTTAGTTTGTTGATTATTTAAGGCTATCAAATAATTTGATATGCTTGCGCGTAATGAAGTCGCGTACCTTCGGTAATTCGAGGGTGGTATGTAGTAGGTTCGTACGTGTTTTTTGTAAAGTCAGGTTTCTTACTATTTTTCTCACCGTTCTGAAATTGTAGCTTCATCGCTCTTGCCAGTGATATGTTAGATAGGAGTGGTGTTCCATAAAGGGCCAGTCTTAACATATTCTTGTAAATCGTTAATTTGAGGCGGATGGATAACTTAGGAGATGTCCATATGAAGTTGAGGCTGTATGCCTTGGTCTTAACCGATTTTAGTTAATTTTTTTTTTATTTGTCGGCCTAAGACTTTCATTGAAGTCTTTTATACTGAAGTCTTATACTGACTTTAATTTCGTGGTACAATGGCGAACCAGTGTTAGGTGCCTATTGAGTGTAGGATAAATGCCTAGATATACTCTACTGCTCACTAGCTCAAATTCTTTATTATTATTTTATATTTAGCCATTTCTTTGTTATTATTGACCACGGGAGACTGTTAATTATTTCAAATAAACCATATTAAAAGTACTCCAGAGGATGAAGAACTAATCTGAAAATACGTTATTTCACCCTATCAGAATTTATAATTGAGGACAAGACCTACCGGATTAAAAACGATATGTACATTGTTATAAAGAGAATAACCATCATAATTTAAAAACAAGAACAATTTAAAAATGTATAAAATAGATTATATAATATTCCAGTCGTAAACATTTTGTTAAAAATGTAATTTCAGTTTTGTACGATTACTTTTTTTAAGCTGAAGTATTCACATACAGACATATTTGCAAAAAAAACGTTATTTGTATTCAATGGATTCCTCAAAACGTGTATTTCCGTTAAAAACTCAGAAGAGATAGTGAAACGTATTCATCATCGCTCCTCTAGCTATTAATCCTTGTATCGGTTTTGTATCTCCGGTGTTAATTTTAAAGCCAGAATGACAGCCTACGTGTTTGAGTTAATACTTCGGAAATCAAACTTTTTAAAATATTATTTAAAAAAAATTCTGATTATCTATCAACCACGGTGGGTAGAACAGTCGCAAACGTAATTATATATTAGTTAAGATATATTTAGTTAAGATACATGACACAATGATAACACTTGTAATTCTTAAAACAAATTTAATTAAAGTTATATGAATTATTCTCGGACTGTACAACAGAACATATATGCAAATAATAAATATAACCTTTATTGACTTCTGAGATCAATAAACCTAGTCATGCGAGATGTAACGATAAGATACATGAAATATATAAAAATACATACCTCGATATGCAATAAAAAACAAATAACCAAAAATATACAAGGTTATTAATATTTAAAACGTTTCTAAATTTTTTAGGAGAGAAAAATCAACGATGTATAAAAGTTAGAAACCTGATTTATATTGAAATAGGTCTGTGTAGTTCAAATTAGTATCTGAATACCAGATATTTTTTAAATTATATTTTTCTTCGGAATAAACATTAATCTATTTGACCGCTTTTATTCGTATACGTATAAATATATATCAATATAAGATAAGATATTTCAATTAAAATATCCTTAAAAGATTTTTGAAAAAAAAAATGTATAATTCCAAATATTCAAATAACCCCAAAATCAGTTGTTTCGGGAAAATGTAGTCATGTAAAGTTTTATTGTTTTTTTAAAAATGCTCTATGTATTTTTCTTCCCTAGGCAAGCCATTTCTTTGATTTTTTGCTATTAAAATTCATTTTTTTTTTTTTTTTTTTTTATATAAAACTAATACGTTAGGATTTTCCAAACTGAATTTATTAAGAAAAACAGTAAAATCAAGACAAAAATATTACAATTGTAAAATTTAAAAATAAAAATGTTTTAAACAATACGGTTTTTTTTTTAATGATACATCATAAATGGACATATTTTTTCATTATCTTTTCCTTATTAAAAAAAAAATGTGTTAAAGAAAAAGTGAATTTAAAATAATATTTCAAAAATTGATATTTTATAAATAAAAGATTGAGAACTTAAAAAACTATTAATTCCTTTTCAGTAGGTTCATAAATGTAATATTATGATTTATAAACGGAATATTAATTGAAAAGAATACACTTAGAAATGTGCCATGCATTGATAAAATAAAATTCTTTTACAGATAAGATTGTAAAGTAAATAAATGACATAATATGAAAAAGAAGGAGTTTAACCGAATTATCTTCAATACTTTCGACTCGATTAAAGGATTTTAATCATTCTATAGGGAGTCTGATATGGGGCCGATTCCGCTTAGATTAAATCTCCTTTTTAAAGGAACCTTCCTTTATCCTTTTAAAATTCTTTCTAAAAGATAAGAGGAAATTCGGGGAACGTGAAATATTTCTGTAACGATTTTATTTTCTTGTAGGAAAAAATTACGTTAATTATCACCTCATTTTTCAATTTAAATAACGCCCAAATATTCTATTTAACGAATAGTCCTTGAATCCCACCTTGAATAACAAGTAGAATTTGCATACAAAAGGGCCAATCCTTCAGCGCAAATTTTCGGTACAGAAACGTAATCCGTAATTTGCCTTGTTTAATTTTAAAATGTTCTTACTGGCGTTATGTAATCTTTAGATGAAAATAATGTGATAATATTGAGAGATCGTTTAGTTTGAAAAAGTCAAATGATATAACTTTATGTGCTCATATTTTTCCTCATATACTCATACTCAAATTACACTTATTCTAAAATAATTTGAAATAACATAATTATATAACCTGTTATATATAATCAGCTTATTCAACAGAACAAATAAATATTGAACTAAAAGTTATAAAAATTAAATATATAATAAATATTTGTAATAATAAATATATAATAAAAATTATTTAAACAACATGATTTGTAATTTTAGGATATTTACGTTGAATTTAAATAATATTATTAAAGCTGACATCCGATTCTCGAGGTCATTCAACTTGAAAAGATCTTTCATTGATTGTTCAACAGAAGTCGTCAAGTCAATTTATATAATGTCTTCTGTATTTAAATTAGAATTTTAAATAAATATAATTATTTAAAACATTTAGAGTTAAATAAATTAGTTAATAAAAATTAAACCAAAAATTTATTTAATTATATTTGACCTACTTAGAATTTTTCCTTCATAGATATGTTATTTTGTATGCATTAGATTAATTTAAATATATATTTTTTCTCGAGCATTTAATAAATTTATTTTAAATATGTTAAAATTAAAAAAGATGTTTTTTTTTTTTTATTTTATTTAAAACAATTTTATTAGAATATTTAATAAATATTCTTTTATTGACATTTAAATTGATCCATTCTATTTATTTATATTTCTATATTGATTAAACACTAGATTTTATTGTCACATAATTTATTTGAAAACTGACTAAAATTGATATAATTTTATTAATAACAACTGTGTTCTGTAAGTTAGTAGATATATTTATATCAGTTGAACATAGAATTTATTTTATTTTAATAAACTATTTTTATTAAAATGCTCAAGAGAAAGATCGTTTTTAATTATATTTTATTGGGTTCAAATTTTATAATTATGTATTTTTTTTTTTGTTATAAGTGAGATTCCGGGTGCTTTATGTAAAACATTAGGTTTTAAAGTTAAATTTTGTTTTTGTGTTTCAAAAAAATCGAAAAAGACTGTGCATTAAGTTTATTGCAATAAAATGAGTTATATATCAAATAATGTATTTTTTTTTTTTTTTAAATTTAATTGAAATATTTGAGTAAGACGTATATATACCATTTACAGAAAATGGAGAAGTCAATTTTTGTTTTGTAAGTTTAACTCAAACTGCTTCCAATGATTTTATTTATGAATTGTAAAGTTCAATTTGGAAAAAAAATCATTAGAATTGAACTTTATTGAAGCTTTTTACAAAAGTTGGCTTTCTCCCAACTTTTTAAAAATGACAGATATCGTTGATATGAGGCTTATCATAGTCTTTAACTTTATCGTTTGTTTTATAAGGATATTAATTTCTACTTTAATCAAAACAAACTTTAATTTAGTTCTAGTTTAAATATTTCTAATTATATTACAATTTTTTTTTTTAAATTGTTATATATTTATGTTTTTCTTGTTTAATTTATTTTTGTCGTTTTTTCGTGTTTTTTATTAGGGACATTTAAACTTTATTTTAAAAGTATCATTATTTAATTTATAGATTTTATAGTAACTATGTAACATAACATTAAATTGATACATTTTTTTTCTCTCTTTTTCTCGCCTCTACCCTAAAGAGTCGTTGGCGTTATTTATACTCTATTATAGTAGTTTACAATTTAAACAAGATAGATACTCGCTCTTCATTATCTTGTAGTGTTTAGTGTTTTTCCTAGTTCTATTTTTTTTCTGTGGCTTTCGAATTGGGGACATTCCACTAAAAGGTGTGGTGTTAATTGATACATTTATTATGGTTTATACTTGTATAACGAACAAACACTCGTACAGGAAAGTAGATTAAAAAAACAAAAGAAGGATTAGCCTTTTATGTTTAAAATAAAAAAATAAATAAGAGTGTTTTAATAATGTAAATTGTTGTTTGTTTTTAATGTAGTAGCATTTTACTGTTGTTTTTTTTTCGACACATTAGGTTTTACGTTTTTAATAATGTCTTATATTTATTTTACGTTAGTGACATTATGATATTTTAAGTAAACAAATAACTATTTTCACAGCTGATATATATAAATAGTTTGTATAAAGTATAGCTATTGATAAGAGATAAGGGTTACCTTGACCGAGAACTGGGCCTGCTTGTCGAGGAGGAACTCCATGCTCTTGGCCCTGGTGTCGGCGGCCGGGGACGGGGGCTGCTGGGGCCGGGACCCCCCGGCCCCGAGGTCGAGGAGGCTCCTGGTCTTCGGGGGCCCATCGTGGACGGTGTCGAGGTCGGTCTCGAGGAGGCCTGCCCTGGGGGCGGTCGGCATGGCACTGGGGCTGGGGGGCGGCTCGCGCAGCCGCTCGGGGGCCCTCGGCGGCGGGGGGGGCCTCTTCTCCTCCGGGGGGTGGAGCGGGATGATCTGCACATCCTCCACTTCCGCCGCCGCCACCACTGTCTTCGCCACCCCCGGCTGCCCGCTCCCGTTCCACTTCTTCTCCTTCTTCTTCTTGTCCCTTCCGGACAGCCTCCGAAGACTGAACCTCTGGAAGAAGCCGCCGATCTTGTTCTTCTTGGCCGGTTGCTCCATGACGGACTGCTCCACCACTACTGGCCTATGCTGCGGGCCCCCTCCACTCTCTGCGACCTTCACATCCTTCCCCACTTTCTCCGTCAGCTCCTCCTCACTGGTGTCCCTGAACGATACCTCCGACACTACCGGACTGAAGTGCACTTTCGAGTGCAGCGACCCGGCACTCGCGTTCAGATTGATGAAACTCGTCGTGATCTGGATGTTACTCCCCTTAGACTTGGACTTGCGAAGCTCACCTTCCTTGAAACTGTGCGCTCTATTCAAAGCATTATCACCGAACTTCAACTCGTACTCTCCATCTTCCAGCTCCTCTCCGTAAAGATTGGGCGTGCTCACCGTATTCATATTCAGACCTTTGCTCTCGGGGATGTCGCTGTCCTCTTCGTGGGCAGGGAAGACGAGGGAGGTTGTGGATACCTTCTCGACTGCAGAAGGAGACTGGTCCAGTAGATCGGGGGCACTCTGCCAGTAGCTATAGTTGGCCTCTCCCCACCCAGGCTGCCTGTCTATTTTGGGTTCCTGCTCGGCCCCGGCGAACACCCCCGAACTGCTCGCTCTCCGGAGGTGGCCCCGGGGGATGTGCTCTCCGAACCCCGAATCCTCGCTCAAGTTCTCGGCCGACCTCTGGCTCTTCTTCTTGGCCTCCTGAGGCTTGCTCGCCGGCTTCCCGGCCACCTCGTTGAGGCACTCCACCGTCTGGTAAAGACATCGCGGCGGGGCAGTGGTCGGTTCCTCTTCTTCCACGGCTAGCATGGTGTTGTTCAGGCTCTGGGAGAACTCTCCGTTGAGTAAGGAAGCTTTCTCTTGACAGTTGACCAGGCTGTCGAAGCTGCGATGAGACTTGAGAGATGACCTAAAACCAAGCGATAATAAATAATTAATGACATAAATATAATTTTAAGTGATCATTTATGATAAATAAAAGTTATTTCTAGATCTACTAATAAAAATATGAATAGATTAATAGTTCTTAAACGTCTTTCTTTGGTTTCTATTCTTTAATTTATGTTAATAGTATTTACTTCAAAATCTAGTTATTTTTAATAAGGTAACAATGTAATTTATTTTGAGAAAGAAAAGATTTCTTTATAATTTTAATAAAAATTTAAAATAGTCTGATTAAATTATATGTTTTTTAAACATACAATTCACAGATTTATGACTTATGCTACAGTATAGCATTAAATCAATATCGAAGTAGACGATCAATCGATTTTAGACTATTCGAGAAAATATGAGAAGAAACATGAGCTATTGCACAATATTATAAACAAATGTAAATTGTGATTTGATATCACATACTGGAGATAAACATTATACTAATGGTATTAAAATATAAATTATTTCTTCCTATTCAACTTTCATGAAGTTTCAATACTTATGTATAAGCTTCGAAGGCTTTTTTTTAATACCAAACACACTTTTACAAAGACAAATGGGAATTTTAAAAATCTACATACAATAATGTACCGTGACGTACATGAAATTTACTTTTCTTTACAAATACACGTAGGCCACAAAAATGATTTTTTAGCATCGCGTTCATAGTAATTTTAAACTGGCGACAAAGACAAACCAAAGAGATTTAGCTATTTTTTAAAATAAATTTATCTTTTGAGCGCAATGAATTTTTGAAAGAGTTGGGCATCAAATGTACTTTTTTTAATTTTATTTTTAAATGATCCATATACAAAGAAAGATTTAAAATTTGAAACCCTATCTTATTTGTAAATAAGTAAAAAGTGTACTAAAAGCTATAGGAACTAAATCTTTATCACTTTATACATTTTTTAAAAAAACTTTTTTGGTAAAATATAACAAAATTTGGTTACGAGTGTTCAGAATCATACTGTTGTTAATTTTCTCCAATAACCCAATTTTATTTTAAATTTAATCTAACCCAAAAAATTTCTATTGTAACAATAAATTGATTAAAAATTTATACCGGCTGGATATTAGGTAAGTTGTAGAAACAGGGCCAGTATTAGCTAAGATAAAACAAATTCCATTTTATCAAGTAGTTTTGGTTTATTATCTCCAATGACAAACGTTTTTAATCAATGTTTTTTTTAATTAACAAATCAAAAAAATATTTTCTTTCACACGACGATCCAATTTCAAATTCAACTTTAGGTGCCTGAAAGGGGTTTAACAAAATTTTAATTATTTTAGGTGGATGAAATAGATTTTTTTTAAATGATATTTGTAAATGACTTGGAATCTGAGCGGTTGAATTGACTATTCTTGAATAGACGATAGGAGATAATTCAAAAATAAATTGGAAAAGAAGGTGGGAGAGAGAACCATTTTGGAAGGGCCTAAGAAGTGACTGAAGGCGTTAATTGGATTTCTTCAACTGTCTCCTCAGTAAATGGAACTTACTTCACAGCTGAAATGACTTGAGTCCATTCGGGGAAAAAATTACTTTATCACGCCACAATATTTTCTACATTAATGGACATAAAGCATTGTCGTTTTATTCTGATACATGCAACAAAGTAATCGATAAAATGTTAAGATTAACTTAATTTATAAAAATGAATATAAATCTCCAAATATTAGTGCAAAAATTCGAAATAGATAATAAAGAACAGAAGCATTAAAATATAAAATTGTTTTAATAGAGTCGTTTATTTCCAAAATAAACCTTAATCGATTTTTAACGAAATAAAGTATCGATTTCTATGGAAAATCACCCAATGAATCTGTTGTACAACTTTTTTAAAAAAATGAATATAAATGTTTAAAAAAAAAAAAAAGTGTTGTGAAAATAGGTTTATTTCTGGAACGGACCTTATTTTTAAGGAATGTCACAAAACTTACATGTCTAAAGCAATATTTATATGAAAAATCATCTAATGCTTTTTATTCAAATGAAAATTTATTTTATTTAACTATCATTGTAAAGAAAAAGTTAATGTTTTATAGTACTATTATTATAACTTTTTCCTCTCTCCAAAACGAAATTTTGAAGTTTCATTCTTTCCAAAAGGTAACCTATTTAAGTTTCAGTGTATTCTAATTAAAACTCAAATAATCAATAGTTTTCGGAAATACGTTGTACAAATAAATACTCTCTTGATTTACTTTTTAAAAAATACTGGTTTTGATATTACAATTGGAAAAGAAAACATAGTTTTTCGTGTTATCTGAAAAATTGATAATAACGATTAGTGTTCACTTTGGAAATGGATGACTCAAATGTAAAGTTATAGAGAGAAACAATCTGGTGTGGATCACACAACTTTCATTTACCACTCTACTTTAAGTATAAATTAATTTCTACATTAATTGGACTATTTTAAAACGTTGCTGACCTTCATTTTAAAGGAATCACTTTGTGAATTTTGGTCATATAAATTCATCATATTACTTACTGATTTAATAATCTATAGTGTATATAGGTATGTATGGGTTCTATTTTATTTATTTTTTAAGTTATTTTATTATTATTTATTGTACATAGAGTGTGAATGTGACCACTGAACGCTATTATAAATGTCAAAGGAAGGAGATGGTCCGGGGTGGTGTTCATAAATAGGCTGAATAGTGGCAAAACTATTATCAAAAGCCAATGTTTTGACCCGACTTTGCAGGTCTTAGTTTTAAGTGAAACTCCTAGCTGAACACACCTCCCTGAAGAAGACCTGCAAAGTCGAGTCGAAACGTTGGGTTTTAATAAAATAGTTTTGCCACTATTTAGCCTATTTATGACCGCCACCCCGGACCATCTCCTTCCTTTATAATGCAACGGTCAACTATTAAATATTCAATATAAATATTATAAATGTTCTTTGAGACAAATTGTAATATTTAAAAAAACAAAACATTCTTATAACTTTTAGTAGTGAACCGGCGATATACAAAGTGTCCCGTAGGTAGAGGAATATATTTAAACGGTTGGTAGTATACATCAAAATCTAAAAGTGAGGTATCTATAGTATAGTTTTTTCTAGTTTACGGTGAAACAATTGTTAATTACTAATTATTAAATTAAATATTTCTTCAGTTACCGCTTCATATTCAACAAAGAACAGGGCTTATTTATAAAAAACACAAAACTTGGATTTCCTATTTTCTGCTGAAATTAGGCCTGTTGTTTACATAAACTTTTTTGAAAGTATTGTGGTGTGCTATCACTCCTATAAAAATTTCCTTATTTTTACCGTACACACTGTTTGATTACTTTATACATATATATTTAGTTTTTACGTAATTGGATTCCTATAGAATGGACAAAAGCTCAGGGCTCGAAATAAAATTTTAACTTTTATTTTTAATCAGCTACGGTTTGATATTAATATTTATTTTTAATTTCTGTTTTGTTGGAACTAGAAATTTGTCCCTTGCAACTTTTCGAGTAAAGGTTCTATAAAACTTTTATTTTCAATGAATCTTTTATTTAAAAGTACTGTTAATTTCGCAAAAAAAAAAAAATGCTCTAAAAAATAGAATCAATCATTCACATTCGATAAATTATAAACCTAATCTAAGCCCGATTACTATTTATTTCTCATTTAGCATAACCTTTTTTAAGAACTTTATTAATAAAATGTTTCTTACAACGTTTTTCCATAAAAAATTTCACAGAAACTGTTTAAATAAAACTTTTTAAAAAGTTTCATAAAATGTTCAACCCACGAAAAACACTATATTTATTTATTTTTATTTTTTTGCAATAATTTAAGCATTTATTAAATTTGTTATTTTTATAAATGTTACATTGAATTAGTTATTAAAATCAAGTATCCAAATTTTGTTCATACACATGAATGAGTAGATTTTGTCAACACACTGTTTTCTTTAGACACTGCCGTAACAATACTACCACGATAAAAATCAGCGTGCCAGCGAGCCCAAAATCAATATATTTTCAATTCTTCTAGCTATGAAGAAATGAAATGAAGATATGTTACCTAGCAACGGATTATCACTGTATTAATCCTTGGAAACAGCCTAAACACAAACACTCACAAACACACAACACTAACACGAACACGAACACAAAGGCACTAAGACGAAGACAGCACAGACACTGACTGGAGAACAGACCGTAGGACCTGGGACAGCTGCAGGTAGAGAGGACCGGGACAGGTGGTCTACTTAGCGAGGGAATATTGCTTTGGGTCCATGCCTTCCAGGCAGCGGCGGTGGTCATTACCGACATCAAGGATAATTTATTAATAGGGGTAAACGGGGGCGGGGTGGCTGAGCGGCCTAACGCGTGTGCACAGCACCGTGCGTTGCCGAACCACATAACTGAGGTTACTAACCATAAAGTAGTTACGGAAGATAAATATTCAGGACGCAGTCATTGTAAAAATTTTTATTTGAGCCGATGTTTAAACCCAAACATGTGGGTCTTCATCAGGGCGTGGTTCGAGCACTGAAGGTGTTTGGGTTGAAACGTCGTCACAAATAAAAATTTTTACAATGACTGCGTTCTGAATATTTATCACCCATGATGAAATGAAAATATTTTTTTATCATCCTGTGACTGTAGTCCTTTTAGGACAAATTACAGATACAGAATAAATGAATGTGTGGCCATACATAAAATTAATTATTTACAATTCTTATTAAGATTAAGATTTTGAAAAAACAATTACACTAAAAACATACTGATATGTATGATACAAACGTGGCAAAATAAAATAGCACAAGTAAAGAAAATCATTTCTGGGGAACTTTAAATAGTTTATAATCTACATTTCATGATCAATCGGGTTGGGAAAGGAGTAGATGCTTAAAAAGTAGTGATTTAAATGAAGAAACTGATTGTACATGTCGGATATCGGGAGGGATGGTATTCCCTCCCGATGGTTGGGAACACAAGGGAGGAAACCGGGAGTT